GTATCCAAACAACCCCCAGTCCCTAATTGATTCGGATAAACGACGCTCTACTGTATTACAAATTTATTTTATTTACGTTTTGAATTTTAAAATAAAATATTAAATTTAAATATATTTTCTAACCATATTGAATTTTTAATGTATTTAAATTAGAGTGATTGTTTTCAACAACGATTCAGAGAAATCCATTTTGTGAATGTAAATTCCATAATCAAAGGAATAACAAATATTTTCGTCCCATTTATGCACGAAAAAATCGTAAAACGAGTGAGTAATTTTTTATTAAAAGTAATGCACGATGTATTAAATATAGTACAAAAAAATATACTTTATTAATCAAACCCCCAATGTTTTGAATTTCCAATCTCACAATATGCCAATAAGCAATATAAATTTTTGTACTAAGAATTTAACACAATAAAAACGTACAAATCTTTTAACTTTAACGTTTTCTATATTGATTTTTGATTAAATAACTGATTAATACATCAATCTACCTGTTATAAAATTAAAAAGAATATATTTTGTACTATTGTATCGCTTGTAAAAAATTTTTTCATTTGTTTACAGATGATAATGCATAGTGAAGTAACGACTCTGCATAAATTTATTCATCCAAAATATCTTCCTGTTGCGTATGGAGGAGAATTACCCGATTCCGATTCACGCGAGTTCATTGAAATATTGAAACAAAATGAAGATTTCTTTCGACAAAACGAAGAATATGTGAAAATGTATGACGAAGAGGTCAAACGAAGATTCTCTGAAGGAACATTCAAGTATATTGATCGGGATAATGTGAATTACGAAGACAAAGTTATAAATGAAGTAGAAGAGAAATTCAACCGCATCAAAGAGGATCCAGAATATTACGCGAAACACTTTGAAAAAAATGCTCTGTTCGAAGTCACGCATTTGTAAATCAAGTTATTTGCATATCTTAGTGTATTACTTCTGGTATAACACTATATTATTATTGTTGAAGACATTATATAAATGATAACATTTTAAAAACATTCGAATTTTGAAGATACTGAACTTATATAGACTACTGTATACGGGATGAATTTATTTAAAAATTAAAATTTATCAATTGATATATGTATGGATTATTTTTGTGATTGTAATTGAAATAAATGGGTGTAGGCAAATTATAATAAACAAATTACCTGTGAACCGCCGGGGAGGACGTAGGCCGTCTCACCTCCCTTTCCGGCAACAGGTCGTTAATTTTACTCACTTTTCAAGATTACGATGTCTGGTCCCGAGGGTTGAGACTCTCATATGTCGGTCGAGTGGAGGGAGACGATAAGGTGAAGGCAGTATACGAGTAAAGGAGTATACCATTTAACAAATAAAACAAGAATTTATTAAAATAGACAAGATTGACAAAACTACAACACTAATTTCGACACTAAACCGCCCAAGAGCTCGAGAGAGAGTTTACATGGGTTTCATACCTCTTTGTAAGTTACCACGACGATTTAAGTCCATTAAGGCACATAGATATCCAATAAGTAACGTTTTTAGGGTAATCCCAATTGGTACAAATGTAAAAGTTCGCGACTAACGGATGGAGATCGATGTTGGAGGTTCGGAATGTACGGCGGGTTCGGAGATTCTACTTGACGGTATCCGATGGCGTCGGTCCGGCTTTCGGTAAGAGACTCCCCCGAGAGGGGGAAGAAAGCATCTTTTATAGCTTTTTGCTGGAAAATCGGTAACGAGATCGGTTGTTACATGAGATAAAGGTTATAGGTGTTCCCGGAACCCAAAACAAGTGACGAAATTTGGATGGTAACTATAAACTTCTGTGCAAGTCGAGCTGCAGACTGTGTGAGAACAATAGAATGTTGGTAGTTATTAAAGCAGGGTTTCAAACGTTCCCAGCGACGATCGTTTTTTTTTCTTTAATACGTTATATAAACAGAAGTAAAATAAAATTTTTAGATTAATAAAATTCCGGATCTCACATACCAAATAAACCGTTAGTTACTTAATGTATTTGAGTGTATTCTATGAATGTTCTATATAGAAAACGAGATTCTTCTGCATCGAACACAAAACGATCGATAAGGCATGTTTGGGGGTCGATAGAAAACGGATCATTAAAAATAATTAGTCAAATGTCGTGTGTATTTTATGTTCAGTATGTTGTAAATTTGAAAAGTTTGATCTTGCCTATAAAAACGGTGCGTGTTAATATTTTCTAAGCTAATTTTTTATTTAATTATAATTTTACTACAAAGAAAGAACAGGGGTTAAAATAAGTCGAAAAATCTTGAAGAGGTCAGCACTCAAAAATGTTTGAGAATTTCTGATGTTTGCACCATCAGTTACGTGACTTGAAATCAAAAACTTTTCTCTTAAAGGAGTTAGATAGATGACTGGCATGACTCTGTTGCTAAAGAGGGAATGTAATGTACAGGAGTAAGAAACTACTAATTTGAGGTGAAAAGCATATATTTTACATTAAATATGTTAAAAATATGATTAAAAACTGCAGCCCGGTATTGTGACGATGTCAGAATAAACTTTTGAAGTCACATTTTATGTGAATTTTTTTTTATTTTTGAATATTTTTGGAGTAATACGCAATCTAAATATATTTCGTGTTACTTTTCTTCTGTTAGAAATTAAATCATTTTGCGTCACTTACAGCAATTAATAATTTAAATTTATTAATTTTAAGTTTCTCTTATCAGTAATAACTTTCCTAGTGGCAATTGTAGATGACATTTACGTAAAAGGAAAATGGCCCTGCTTTTCTATATATATCTAAATAAAATAATTTATTATTAAGTGTTAGTCACATGTTTAAAAGTTTTATTTTATGTAATTCAAACATTTCTTCTTTGATAAAGCAGGTAAGAGGTTTTAACTATTGTTATTCGTTGTATTTTATGTATTACCTATAAATACCTTAGTGATATTCGGACGTATTTAACTGAGTTACAAAAATTTAATGTTTCTATTACTGAAGAACTTAAAATTTGTTTTATTTTAAGGAAGAAAAGATACGCCTGTATATAATACGCACACAATTTCAGATCAAAGTATTGAAAGAAAGAGTATTTAGTGTACAGTAATTAAACAATTCGGCTTATAAGATAACTGTGGTAAGATAAGATATACCTAATAAGTACCCAGCTAGAATGTTTTTTCTCCTTCACAACAACACCTTATCTTACTAAGTACTATTTATTAATTGCAAGAAACGTTTCCAACCTCTTCTACAGGCCATCTTTAGTTTTTTTTTTTTAAATTTTAGAGCGTGCCTGGTGTTATGAGTGAAATATCGAAGTACAAAGACTTTCAGTTACTTTTCAAGAGAGCATCAACAACTGTTTATGGCCTTTCAAAGAATGATAAGGATAAAGTTAAAAAGTAGTGCATCAGAAGTATACAGAATTTTGTATAAAAACGAACAATTGAATTTGGAGAAGGAATACATACGATTTGCAACAGAAACCTTAACAAATGTCTTAAAGAACACATATATAGTATATAGAAAGAGCAGAATTGTACGGCTTTGGGCTTTGTCTAGAATGGCACAAAGCGAGGCATCAGTAGTATAATCAGAAGAAGATTGAATTACGTGACATAAACCGGGGGTACTTCTACTAAATACCGCTTAATCGGCACAAAATCGTAAGATTCGATCTGTACGTTTAAAAGAAGGGTCGATTTTTGAGTGGTAAGAGGATCTACATTTTGAATCCGGATACACGTTAGGATGTTGACACCAGTTAATCTTATTTTAACGCGAATTAACACACCTAACCACGGACTTTCGAGTATGAGGAAGGCAAGTATTTAACGTAGGCATAAGTGTGGATATCTATCATTAACCAGGCGATATTTAAAATAACAAACGAAAATATTTAATAAAATAAAATATCAAGAATATACAAATGAAATGAATTACAAATTATACTTAACCTAATGTAAGTTCGCCGATTTTGGGGGCAATACGTTAATTGCGCGTCAGGAAAACCTAGGGTCAAACCGTATGTGGGTGGTGGCGGTAGGAGACAGAGATGACAAGTGTCTTACACGAAAACCGTTTATTTTGACATAAGGTTAAGTCACATAATGACAATAACAATGCGATCTAGATCGACTTTGGTGGGAGCTCCTTGATGTCGACGAACGGGCGCTGACTGGTGTTCCGGGCTTGACAGGAGAGTGTCCGTTGCACAGGTGCCTCTGTCCGGTGATGTTGCGGATGTTGGTCACTGGTGGAGAACCTGGTCCGAGTGGAGAACTGCGGAGAATCGGCTGGGAATTCCTCTTCGGAGAGAAGCGGCCGAGAATCTCCGTCGGGGAGAAGCGGCTGGGAATCTCTCCGCTGTCCTTGAGATTCGGGGGTGTTATAAGATTTTCGCCAAATCTCACCCTTTTGATTGGTCCCGTTCACCCTCTCCCTTACCCCGATTGGTCATTCCTTTGTTTCTAGGCGAAACTTGAGACCGATCCGGGTCGGGAAAAGGTCGGAGAGGTGATGACGGAGCTTTTAATGTTCGCGCTCGTCGACCCGGCACTTGTTCGCGAGCATCTCAACAAAGCTCTTTCTTTCTGTCGACATTTATCCCTGTTGTTTATCATCGCGTTGCGTTTGTTTTACGATTCGAAAAAAGTTTTCGTCCCATCTGGGTTATGTCATTAACACACCCTCTTGACCCGATTCCATCTTCGAAACTCTCTGACGTTAAAGTTTGTAATTAGTCGTAATTTCGACGCGCTTTTACGACCCTCATACTAAATCGCGATTAACTAACTTAAATTCTATCTTAAATCTAACTCGTGAGAGAGAGTTCGCATCGATCTGAATAGGTTTATACTACCTTCACTAGAGTATGGATTCTTTATACAAAATGTTTCCTGAGCAGAGAGAAGAATTTCCATGGGATGAAAAAGCACTTCGGTTGTACGAGTCACTTAGATTTTACAAATACGTGTGCCGGGCTGTCAACGGCTCACGTATTTGTAAAATCTAAGTGACTCGTACAGTACGGAATTCATATAAAACGGAATAATCAACAGTGTTATAGGGGGGTCGACTGTAATTAGTTTTAAATAATTAAAATTATTCATAATAGTAATAATTGTTGGCTAGGTAAGAGTTATCTGTAGTCTACTGAAACCCATTTGAGCAAGTCATTAACCCGTAGGAGAAGACAATTCACGTGTAAGATGCAAGGCGAGTTGTTGAGGNGGTCGACTGTAATTAGTTTTAAATAATTAAAATTATTCATAATAGTAATAATTGTTGGCTAGGTAAGAGTTATCTGTAGTCTACTGAAACCCATTTGAGCAAGTCATTAACCCGTAGGAGAAGACAATTCACGTGTAAGATGCAAGGCGAGTTGTTGAGGCTGTTTTTCAAATAAAAGTTATGTCTCGTAAGCCATAAAACACTTTCCTACTAAAAGAATTTAGACAGAAAAGTTGTGTAAATATTGCCTTGAATTAATTCGATGGTTATCGAATGTCGTTGATTTATGATAAAATAATTCTTAATTTTCTAAAAATGAACGTCGACTATTTTGATTTTTAATGAACGTCTTTTGTATTAATAAAAATGTTACTTGTTATTGGCATTTACAATTCACATAGAGACTTGCCCGTATGCCAAAAAGAAGACATTTGTCTTTACGTGTTAACTAAAATCATAAGCATTATTAATAAAATATCGTAACAGATGGCGCCACATAGAAACCCTGCCTTCTATATAATTGAAATTATCAGAATTCCTTGTTTTTTTCACATCACACAACACATATTCTAGTAGCAGGAAAGTCGTAAAAGAAACCTTGCCAGCTTTTATAGTCTTTGCAAGCGTTTGAACATCGGTTAAAGGATGTGGGAGTTTGTATGAGAGATGAATCAGCAGGAAGAAGTGAAGGGTCCTTGATACGGTTGTATCAATATTTCGTTACAATTGATACTTTTTTTAGCCATTTTATCGTCGCTAAGGCTCACTCGTACATGTCCACAGTTGAAAAGTGACCGAAATAACTCAATTTATGTAGAGAGATATCTGATAACATAAGATTATTATTATACGAAACAAAACAAGAAGACAATATAAACGAAGCATATACACAACTAACTACCTGAACTGTAGGAATTAAATTTGAAATCGAAAATATAAGATACAATATTAAGTTAGTATAATAGACTAATCGTATTAGCAAAGTGAACAGAATGTTCGATAAAAGGTGTTTGAAGAGATTACACATTTTTTGATGTTTTTCTTGGTTATGACGTTGGATATAATAACCTGCACGACCTCCATAATAACCTGCGTGTAA